AATGAGCGAGTAGGGAATCGGGTAAACGTATACAACGGTGAGAAGGCGTGGCGATAGTATTCGGTAGTATCGGCGAAAGGGTGCGAATCCAGGCAAATAAAGTGTGACTCGGCAGTATAATGCAAACCCTTCCGACTCTTACCGCACTGTCGGCGCTGCAGTGTGCTAACAGACCACGCATGGGGATTGCTAAAAAGGCATAAGGGCGTACATGGCAGATAGGGCGACCAAATATTCCTATTCAGGTGTAGGCCTCGCCCCGGCCGTAGGCACCAAGGGCGCCCCGTCCTTGGGCCGGAGGGGTCAAAGAGCCTCAAAATACAACAGCCCCTCTGGTTTGGGGACAATAGCTAATGAACCAATAAGCTCAATGCCTCAAATAGTACGTTGATAGTTAGTTATCTACCTCAAGGTTCTTATCATCTCTCACTTTGCCCTTCTCATCTGTCTTAGGTACAAGTTTATCTGCTCTCCGTCTTATACTGAAGTAAGGGATATCCTTGGCTTGTGCTACTAACCTTGCGATGCTTCGGCTTCAGTACTCATAGTGAAGGTTTTGTAGCGTGTTTTTATATAACAGGAGCTTTCCTTTGTAAGAATTAGCCAATGAACCAAGAGTGTATGCCATGTCTGTTGCTATTGAAGCTACGGTAAGGTTATGGATGAAGATGACACTCGGGTTAAGCTTGATATCAAGGTATGGCCATAACTCATCCTTTTTGGAACCAAACTGTAAGCTTAAAGAGTATGGTAGTTTCTGAATGTTTGCCTTGTGCTCTCCCCAGCTGTTAATAAGCACCTTCAAAACCTTGTCGTAACTATTGTATTCAGTAAATGTAATGTCTATGGTATGTGTTGGGTATGTAGTGAAAAATTCATCAATCTTATCTGCGTCTTCTGCCTTTGCCAACATTGGTATATCATGCGTTGTGACCTTAATTCACCATTCCCAGTCCTTATCTTCTTCTTTATGCTCTATGATACTCACACCGTTATGCTTTGGTATCTTCTCTAAGTTCCCCCTCACGATATTCACCAACTGGTTCACTTTAATAGACGGGAAAGCTGTAAAACGGCTCCCCAACAACATTGATGATTTTTTAACTCCTATAGCTCTTGCTTACTGGGTGGCGTCCGATGGCTCGTTCTGACAGCGGTTTGGTATTATTCGAATCTCAACGGATTCCTTTACTTCTGCGGAAGTTGATATCTTACGGTCTGCCCTGCTTAAAAACTGTAATATAAATACTACACGTGTTTCCAATGGAAAGGAACGGAACAAACCCTAAGAAGGATAGTAATCTACCTTATCCTCTAATTTATTTTGAATTCCCCCCTCATTAGTAGTCTACTACTTCAAAGTCAAGTCCAGTTATCTCAATTTAAACCATGCATGCAACATTTTGGCTATCGAGACATTACTTGTCTCCTGCAGCTAAGGCTGCCCTTGTCCTCGCTGAGGTAATTCTACAATGATTAACGGTATGGTGTTGGGGGATGGTTATCTCAGAATCCGACAGGGGTGTAGGGATGCTCAGCTAGATATAAAACAAAAAGACCGTGCCTTTGTTTTCCACATTTGGGACCTCTTGAATTCTTTAGGAATCGTAGGATCTCCCCCTGTAGAAGAAAAAGCATTATTAGACCTTCAGGGAATAGCGGACTATTTATTCCTTCTCTACCTTTACGCTGCCCTTATTTACCACACTATACCATCAATGGTATACAAGCAGAGGGCAAAAAAGTCAAGATCGTTCCTTCTAACATTGCTGAACTCTTAACCCCTGTTGCATTAGCCTATTGGGTTTCAGGGTCAGGGGATGGGAATTAGATAAATCTCGTGGTACGATACGAATCGCGACGCTTTCATTTACTGCTGAGGAAGTAGATCTATTACGATCTTCTTAAGAATTTTAATATCGAATCGGCTCGAAAGACACATAATGCCGCTAAAGAGCAATACATTATAGGATACCTAAGCGAGAAGTTACTAAGCTTCAGGATATCGTCACTACTCATATGCCCAACGTGCTTCAATGAAATATCGGGCTGGACTGTAAACCTTCCTTGTTTGAAATAATTACGGAGCTCCCAAACGGGCTAAGTCGCTTTCAGAGTTAAAGTAACCCTCCCTATTTAGTTCTTGTATAGTTCTTCGGGGTTTGTAATTTAACAGGTAAAAAATCAACTTGTCACGTTGAAAGATGTCGGTTCGAGTCCGACCAAGCCCGGGCCAAGGGGGGCAATGGTTTTTTTTAGAGCCCATTGGCCCTAGCGACTGATGGCCATAGGTCCAAGGCCGCGGGTCTACAAAAACAACCTTCCCCCCCCGGGCCCAAAGGCAGGGAGGTTACTCCTCGCTGAAAACACGGCTATGTTGGAATAGGCAGACAAGCCAAGTTTAGGCCTTGGTGGTTAATACCGTGAGGGTTCAAATCCCTCTAGCCGTATTCTGAGCCTAGCTAACCTGCCAGGGTTCCTAGCACTATCCACTATAACTCCTGACCATTTCTTTCTCTAGTCTACTCCTTATACTACGCTAGATCTCCTGTAAGGTTTCCACTTGTACCCCTGGTTAAAATGGGTATCCTAGTTTCCATATTGCACTCCCCCCTCTTTT